CCAGCAACCGGACTTATTTAGGTACTGCGATGTCCAAGAAGGGCATCCAGTGGAAATTTGACCCTCCAGCTTGCCCATATTGGGGCGGTATTTTTGAGGCGGTGGTTAAGGTTGCAAAAACGCATCTCCGTCGCGTTATTGGCGAAACTCTTTTGACATTTGAGGAGCTTGCCACTATATTCTGTAAAATTGAGGCGGTACTCAACTCTCGGCCCCTCTGTTCCCTATCGTCCGATCCGAATGATTTGAAGGTTCTAACTCCGGGCGACTTCCTGATTGGCCAGCCTCTTAACCCGCCCGAGTACCCCTTCAGGGAAAAATCTCTTCGCGGTTGAGCAGATTTGACCTGCTGCAACAAATGACTCAGAGTTTTTGGCACCGATGATCTCTGAAGTACCTACATCTTTTGCAGCAGCGCGTTAAATGGTCTGACAAGACGGACCCCCCTCGGGTTGGAGATCTCGTGTTAGTTAAAGAACCCAACGCTTTGCCTTTGTATTGCCGCCGTGGGCGCATTGTTAAGTTGTCGTATGGATCGGATGGGGTGCCTAGGTTGGCCGAGGTTTTGGTTGGAGATTCGGTTTTGCAACGTACCGTCGCGACCCTATCCCGTTTGCCATTTTCTCGCGGACATAAGTCCTTATGCCCGGGACGGGGGTTTGTTTAGGCCAAATTGTAACATCGTAAAAACTTGGATTCAAGACGCGCGTCTCGGCGTGATCGCCCGATGGGATTTAAAGGTTACCTCTGGCCTCCTCTCCCCCGAGCGGGTCTCTCGGCTCACCGCGCGGTCACGAGACATGTGGGCGAGTTAGTTTTTTGCGTCCGCGGTGTTGATGAGACGGCCTGGAAATTTGCGCTCGGAACAGCCTCTAATAGCGTTGTCTAATCTCGTAGGTTTTACGTGACAACGAGGCGAGTCTTGTGATAATTCTTGTTGTAATAGTTTTGAGTGATTAATTTAACTTCGATTGCCATTAATTTACGTCGACCAGTTTGTGTGGCATTTTAATATCGTACGAAGGAATTTTGCTTTGTCGGGCGGAACGCTAAAACTTTGTGACTCGAGAGGAGATCGCGTGTGCTCAATTATAATTTTGTGCTAAGTGAACATGGGACATTGAACTTTGACCGACTGTTCTTAAGTTGAGCAGCGTGTCACTTGTTTTAATTTAGATTAACGTTGATTTAGTTAAATTTGAAGCTAATTAAATGTACAATAAAGTTGATAAACTAATAGTGAAATAAAAGCAGAAGGTTTCAATTGGTGAACGCCCACTGGAGGGATCGCACATCTTGAAGAAAAGCAGCGCATGTGGGCTGCTGGCCGATTACATCGGTTAAGTCAGGTTACACTTACATACTACTACATTTACACTTACATACCACCCACTTGCCCCTGACGGCGTCTTGTGGTCGACCCTACCTCCGGAACTCGGTTAGTTCATGTTTGTTTATCCAGCCAGTAGAATAATTATCCATAGGCCATTGGGCCCGAACCCTCAGTTGCCCGTCGAAGGTGTTACTCATGGGCCCTAATACAGTCGACTTCTGTCTGAGCAACTGGGGGCCGTAACAACTACACATTGAATAAAACTACTTTTAGTGACAGCTGTCATTGCTGTAACTAAACATTAGCTCCTGTTTTATTCTTTTCTAAATTCGTTAAAAGTCTGTATTTTTGATGAAAACAAGAAAATTATATCATAATACATATTATGTGGAAGTGTTATTCGCGAAAATACTATATCTTTATATGACAAATAACTTAAGAATAAAACTATGTGTGCCGTCCAGTTAAAATTGCATAATGAAGTGATTAAACATTAGTGTTGTAAAATATAATAAACAGTGTAAATTAACCCAAGTGAACTAAATTCTAAATAAATATGATAATCTCGCTTATATGTATGTAATTTACGAAAAACTATAAATTAATGCAATTGGATGCAGATCGTTAAGGTGTAAAAATTTTAAATTATCTACAATTACTGCTGGATGGATAATTGATACTAGTGCCACCTATCAACTAGTAATAGAAACTGGATAAAGTCGATAAAGTAATATTGTCAAGTTTTCAATTATAACAACAATTTCATCAACATTTCACAAGTTTGCGTAGCCTAATGGTAAGTTCGGAGTGATAATATCAAAAGGTCGGAGGATCGGTTCTGACGCATTTAAAAAAATTATTATCTTTTTTCATTTCTTATAAAATGGCATCAAGGGGTAAAAAAATAATATGCAACAAATGTGATAAAGAAATATGTCATAAGGAATTTCTTAAATGTTACGATTGCAAATTTATTTATGAAATTGAATGCTTAATCCTTATATCTAAATGCTTTTATCTAATGACCAAAGAACACAAACTTAAATGGAAGTGCCAAACATGTTTGGGCAGAATACAGATATTACAGAAGCTAAAACCCCACAAGGACTAAGTAATGTCACAAAATCATGTTCATTAAAAAAACCTTGCGTACTGATGAAAACATAACACAGAGAAAGCCAACAAGAGAGGGTAAACATATTTCAATTGAAGATTTATCAAGTAATGAGAACATAGAAAATTCCACATTTTTAGATGATACTTCACAAAGTTTACCTTATTTAACAACCACGGAAAGCTCACTGATTAATGATCTTAGAGATGAAATAGATGCGCTTTCTATACAACTATCCAGTGCATACAATGAAATAGATTTATTAAATTTGGAAATCACAAAACATCAAAAGAAAATTACTGAACATCAAAAGAAGCTCGATATGTACAAGAAACTTCTATCAAAAGGAGAAGTATCACCACGAAGGTTAACACCGATGAACGGTGTAATTTTATCTAGATAAAATTATATCCATCTCGCAGGATACGAATAGTAAAATAAAAGTTGGGCAAAGTTTAAACACTCATTCGACTATAGAAAAGGACCTAAAACTGCATGAAACTTGCATAGAAAAGAAAAAAGATATAAGCAATTCACTCAGTGAAACACGTATGTCATCTTTACCTATAACAACATGTACAGAAGTACCCAAAATGAAAAAAAATACGATCACAATTCTTGGGGATGAAAATACGTCTGGTTTTTACAAAGATTTATACAAATCAAAAGAAGGGAAATGGAATAATAAGTATATGCCATTAGCTATAATACAACCAAACACTTCTTCATGTGATATCTTAATGCATTGTAACCAACTCGAAGAGACAGTAACATTAAGTGACTTTGTTATACTGTGCGTTGGGAGCCATGACAAAAATCCGTATAAATTGTACTCTAATCTTAGTGTTGCTTTGTATAAACTGCGCAAAACTAATGTTTATTTATTACCGGTACTAAGTAATTTGTTTTTGAATGAAAAAATGTTAAATAATATGTATAAAATATTGACTCAATTCACAAAAATCACAAAAATTTTAGGCTTATTGACATTGATTACAAATACTCTAATGTAAATTCAACAACCGATTACATAAATTACCTGTGTTATTCTATTAACATTTCTATTGATAGTCATGAGTATGATAAACAATTTATAGTGCATAAAAGTAGGCATAATAATTTGACTAAAAAAATGTGGATAGAACCTCATTTATCATGACGGCTCTGTGGCGCAGTGGCTTGGTAATCAGTTGTTGCGCTGTGGGCCGCGGGTTCGAATCCCGCACGGAACAAGTATTTGTGTGGCCTACAAATAATTGTTCCAGGTCTGGATGTTTGTCCTTGTGCAATTTATGTTTGTAAACTGCCTCAACAACACAGGAGAAAATCCAAGTGTGGGTGTAACGTTTTTAAAAAAGAAAATTATAGACGAACCTAAGAAGGGAACCATACCCTATTATTTCAAAAAACAACTTATGAAAAGTCAAAAAGTTCATGAAGTTATTAATTATAAGAAGGGTACTATAGAATATTTCTTTGAAAAAATTAAAATGAAGAATTTTAAATCCACGGGAGGAGCTTTGAAAACTTGTAACGTATAAAATATAAATAATGCTATAGCAAACCCTTGCATAGGTTCCGCATCAAATAATAAAAATGTTTTTTTCGATAAAAATTACTCAAATCAGAAGCTACTTCTTTTACATCAAAATATTGCTGGAGTTTTAAACAAACAAGATTTGATTGTAGTAAGTTTGAATGAACTAGCTAATAGTAATAAATATATTCAATTCCTTTGCTTTACTGAGACCTTTATAAAAAGTGGCGAAGAACCTAACCTTAAGCTGTCAGGATTTAAGCTAGCATCATTCTACTCCAGATCAAGAGAAAGACGTGGCGGAGTATGTATAGTTATAAGAGAAAATATAAATTATAATGATTTAATGATTACGAAAGAATATGAAATGACAAAACATTTTGGATGTTGCGGAATTGAAATCAGTAACTTTAATCTTATAATTTTATGCATATATCGAACACCAAATTCAAACATATATATATTTTTCGAAAAATTAAATAAATTATTATTAAAATTATCAAGAGAAAATAGAAAACGAATAATCATTACAGGAGATTTAAATATAGACACACTGAATGTTAGTAAATACTCTAAAGACTTTAAAGACCTATTACTACATTTTAACTTAATACAGCACATAACTTCCCCAACCAGAATTAATTCATGTATTGATCACTTAATAAGCAATGTTACTCAAGCAAAAGGTTCTTTACATTATTTGGGCTTCTCTGACCACACGGGACAAATACTAGAGCTTCCTATAAAAGTAAGTAAAACAGTAAAATACTGGCTTGAAGAAAAAAGAGACTTTACGAAAGATAACATAGAAAAGTTCTTGGAATCTTTTCTGAAATCTATACTGAACAAGACACCAACAAAGCGTTTTCAAGTTTTCATAGTATTTACAAACTGTTCTTCGACCTATGTTTTCCAACCATATTTATTAAGATTTCCTTAAGAAATAATAAAAATTATTGGCTTTCAAGAGGTATAAAAAATCTTGCGTAGTGAAAAGAAAGCCGTATTTTAAATATTTGCTATCAGCAACAAGTAAAAGTATAAATAAATCTAAATATATTAGTTACGCCAAAATCCCTAGGAAGTGTATTTTAAAGGCACAAAAGATACAAAATGAAAAATATATCTTAGGCTCAAATAATAAAGGTAAAGCTATATGGAATGTTATAAAAACAAATATAACTAATAGGAAAACTAGTAGAGAAATAGACACCATAACTCACAATGGAAGAACCCTTATAGAAGGATGTGACATTGCAAATGGGTTTAATAATCTTTTCATAGATTTGACAAATAAAGACAAACTGAATATGTCGAATAATTGTACGTGTAAACAATTCTGTAACTCTACTATATTCTTACGACCTACGATTCCTGATGAAATTAATCAAATTATATTATCCCTTCGAAACACTAATTCGGTGAGGTATGATGAGTTACCGACAAAAATATTAAAACTAAGTTCTATATATATATATATATATATATATATATATATATATATATATATATATTTATATATATATATAGCACCCATACTTTGTCATATTATAAATTTATCTTTTGCCCAAGGAATTTTTCCAGCAGATCTCAAGTATTCAATTCTGAAACACATCTTCAAAAAGGCGATACTAAAGATATTAATAATTACAGACCTGTTGCAATAGTACTCGTATTATCAAAAGTTTTTGAAAAAGCAATACGAAAGAGACTTCATAACTTTATGGGAAAATTTAATATTATTAATAACGCACAAAATGGTTTTGTAAAAAATAAATCCACAACATTAGCCACCTTTCAACTTGTTAAGTTTGTTACAGAATGCATTAATGAGGATGTACCGGTGATAGCTCTTTTTTTGGATTTGAGTAAAGCATTTGACTTTGTTCATCACGGAATGCTTCTCAATAAACTCGAAAGATACGGAATACGTGGGAAAGCAAATGAATGGTTTAAAAGTTACCTGGGTCAAAGAAAACAATGCACATAAATAACAAAGCTCAAAAACCTTAAAAAAGTGCATATCCGGTCTGAATATAGGTTAAACGAATATGGTGTACCGCAAGGAAGTATTCTGTGTCCTCTGCTTTTTCTAATATATATTAATGAGTTTCCAACAACGACTCATACAACGATTCTTTTCGCTGATGACGCAACAATCATTCTTAAATGTACGAACAAAAGGCGTTTTGAATTTGATATCAATAGTACATTAAAAGATATAATTGATTGGTTGAATTCTCACAACATGACTGTAAATATAAATAAAACTAAAATAATGCAATTTCACACGATTAGAAGTAAGCAAACTAATTTAAGTATAAAGTATAATAAAAAAGTGGTACAAGATGTTGGTTATTATAAGTTTCTTGGTATTACTATTGATAATAATTGTAATTCGAAAATGCATGTTCAATCGATATGTGACAAATTAAACAGATTTGTATTTGCGCTTCGCCGACTTCGAGGGATAGCATCTGCCAAAGCATCGTTAAACGCCTATCATGGCTATGTCTCATCGATATTGCAGTACGGACTTCTGATATGGGGCAACTGTTCTGAAATAGAACGTGTATTTATAATCCAAAAAAAAAATGCATTCGAGCAAACTGTGGAGCACATTCCATGGCATCGTGCAAGCCGTTAGTTAGTTCATTCTGCGTAGATCGAACCAAAATTATTAATTAAAAAAGCTGAAGGTACTCTGGGTCAACTCTGACATCGGGACGTCTATCACCTTAGTTCCCCGTGACCACGGTTGCTGGAAAGCAACTGAAACGTCGGGAATATAAAATAAGTTAATTAAACGCGATAAAATTCGTAAAAGTAGTTTTTTTGAATGAGACAGTTATGTTTAAAATTTTAACTGTAATTTACAGAAGGGTTATTAATGGTTACATCATAGAAATAAAAAACTAACAAAAAGTTAATACTTATAGTCACAGGACTTGAAAGATCATCACAGGTTGTCAGTTTTTGAGATTTATTTTTGAATCCTTATAATTTGAAATGTACATGACCAAGATTTTTCTAATAACTGTCACAACTTGGCTTAACGTTGATTTCTGGGACAACCTGTATAAAATACATGAAAAGTAACTAGCTTCAAACCGAATGAAAAATAAAAATAAAATGGTTTTTCATACCTTGTTTGAAGAACACCTCTCTCCCTTGAGAATATTTCGAGTGCTTTCGCAAATTATAATGGTTGAAGCGCTGTGAATTATTTCTCGCTTCATGACCCAGTCAGAAATGAGAAATAGCCTATGCTCAGTTGTAAAACGTATAAAATGTGAGAAAACTCAAGCTTAGCAATTTGATTAACGTATTAAAATATATAACTAAATGTTAATTAAAACTATCCTTTAAAATATGATAAAAAAATTATCTGGTAAAACCACGGAACAAACGTAACGCTTCTTTTGTAATATCATCATCATCATCATCATCATTACAGCCCTTCACAAGTCCACTGCTGAACATAGGCCTCCCCAAGGAATGCCACAAAGCACGGTCCTGAGCCACCTGCATCCATCGACTTCCTGCATATATTACCAGGTCGTCACTCCATCTAGTGGGGGTACGCCCAACACGTCGCCTGCCGGTACGACGCTGCCACTCGAGAACCTTTCTTTCCCATCGGTTGTCGGTTCTTCGAGCTATATGGCCGGCCCATTCCCACTTCAGCTTACTAATCCGTTGGACTATGTCGGTCACTCTGGTTCTTTTATTTTTTTCGTTCGCGGATATCCTCATTTCTGAGTTTATCACGCAGAGAATCTCCGAGCATATCCCTTTCCATAGCTCGCTGAGCGACCTTAAGCTTCCTCATCCGGCCAGCAGTGAAGGACCACGTCTCAGTTCCGTATGTCATCACTGGCAACACGCACTGGTTGTACAGTTTCGTTTTCAAGTTTTGAGGTATACCTGACGAGAAGATGTGCCGTAATATCCCGAACGCTGCCCAACCGAGTTGATTTTTGTAATATACAGTTTTGTAAATTAAAAATAATCTTCAATTATAATATTATCAACAACTTACATCATTATTAAATTTCTAGGTTGTTTTTCTGCTTAGGAGTCCGTCTGGGTACCAACCTTACCTATTATACTTTTTTTTTCTTTAAAAAAAAAACGTTATCCCCACACTAGGATTTTCTCCTGTATCGTTTAGGCAGTTTACAAACACAAATTTCACAAGGACAAACATCCAGACCCGGAACAATCATTTGTAGGCCATACAAATACTTGTACCCGTGCGGGATTCGAACCCGCGCCCCCCAGCGCAGCAACTTATTGCTAAGCCACTGCGCCACGGAGCCGTCAATTTATTCCAGTCTAAAGCGTATAGAGAGCCAAAATAATTACAGGCCGTGAGGTATTTCATCTTTATAATAACAACGTGTCTGTAGCCTTCTTTGTTTGGGTTCGTTTTTCACTTCGTATCCTTGTCACTTTAGTTTTAATAAAAAAAAAACATCACTTCTTATTAATTACTAGGAAGTGTTGCCCATATTCTGCTGGTTTGACCTTGTAATGTACATTTAAAGTCTGTTTATAGAGTGAGAATTTTGTAAATAGACAGCGCTACATTGCTGCAGCATGAATGGATGAACTGCACTAGGGAATCAGAAGCCACAGTACACTAGCATGAAATAGCAGCTCTTTGCTGTGTGGCACATATGGTGAGTCATCATTATTATCATTCATTATTACAGCCCTTCACAAGTCTACTACTGGACATAGGAACTAAGGAATGCCATAAAACACGGTCCTGAACCTGCACACCATCTGCAGCCATCGACTTCCTGCATGTCTTACCAGGTTGTCGCTCCATCTAATGGGGCTCCATCCTATCCTTTGCTTACCGGTACGAGGCTGCAACTCGAGAACCTCTTCTCCCCCACCAGTTGTCGATTCTTCGAGCTATATGGCCAGCCTATTGCCACTTCGGCTTACTAATCCGTTAGGCCATGTCGGTTACTCTGGTTCTACTGCGGATATCCTCATTTTAAGTCTATCACGCAGAAAAACTACGAACGTAGCATTCTTCATAGTTCGTTAAGTGACCTTGAGCTTCCTCATACGGCCAGCAGTGAAGGACCACTTCTCAGATTCATAAATCATCATTTCAATCACACAACACGCACCGGCCGTACATACAATCTTTATTAATTTTCATTATAAACATATTTACTACTGAGCGGATATAATTCAAAATTTCACTGCTTAAAACGATACTGAACGTAGTAAAACTCGTATTTATGGTAAATCAATACTAAACTTTAAGTGGTTATAAAGTTTCTTTACGCTTCGGAGTTACAAATTGGAGTATGCAAGCGGAATCGTGACAATTGTAATTTAGAATAGTCCGTTTGTTACTGGTATTGGGTAATAACTTTTAAAACGAAAGTATTACGACCTTTCTTTATTGCTACAGGAATTTAGTATGATAACTGAGAATATTGCTTATGCTATTTGCTTTGTAAACGTGTACAATTGTGGTTCTTTACGCTATTTCGAGATCAAATTGCGATGCTTATTTGCCGAAGCCTCGTAGCGTAAAAAAACTTATTTAATACATAAAATACTCGATGAGAGTCTCTCGATTGGCGTCAAGTTCACGCACTGTTACCTTATTAAAATAAAGGCAATGATGAAAAATGAATTAATATTTTAATATATATCTTAAGATATTATGTCGCCTCCGAGTCGTCATGTATGTGTACCATAATGAAATGGAAAATAAAATAACTGTATTTCCATCATAAAACCATTCTGAAGCAGGGGATAGTCAACCGCGGAGCTCTAATGCTAACTGAATTCAGACCGCATAATGTATTCTTTCATAACGGAGTCGAAATCATATGGGGATTTGAATTCACTACTTTAAAATTTAAGGCGAGAGTCTTTTCTTGAGTTACTACAGCTTTAAGTTTCTTATATACAATCAAATTTAAATTCAGTTTACTATAACATTATTTAAAAAAAAATAAGTGATCTAGCCTCATCAGTGTTCTTGTAGTAGCGGCGTAGAAGAGTTTGGGCTCCAGGGTCTTTTATGTAAAAAGTGCAAGTAGGTTAGGCTGAACTGAAATAAATGACCCAAGAATGAGTCTACAAGAAATAATTTTACGTATACTTTTCTATTGTAAAGTAACTGTAAAATAATAAATGTAAATAAATAAATATTACATATATTACATATATAATATTACGTAGATATATGGATGTAAAAGAGGCGAGAGAGGTGTGTCAGGATCGCGCAAAATGGAAGTCCGTAGTCTCTGGGTGACAGGCGTGAGTGTTTATGTATGTATGTATTATGCTTAAGACGAAAAAGTTGCAAAACATGAAAAACAACAAAAGAAAACATTTTGAATTGCATTGATGCAATTCAAAATGAAAGAAATAAAAGAAATAGACCGACTATTTCTTTATTCAGATACTACAATTTATAAATATAAGTAAAACCACTCCAAGACATGTTAGATATCTTGATCTAAGTGCAATAATTAAAACAGGGGGACATTTATTACAGTAACCATTATGATAATGTTAACTTTATTCTCAATTAAAGTAAGTTATTTCAGGAATGGGCAGTATGTCAGCTGATATGTGCTTTCTAAAGTGCCTTGTTTTTTCAAAGTAAAGTTTAAACGGAGCTATTGGCACTATTCTATGATAAAAGCTTTTTGCTCCTGATATCACTTTTTACTTCTGATATCCTCGCAAGCAATTGAGGGAGGGCGGGAGGTACTCTACAAACTAGGTAAGACACGTCATTTGATTTATTACACGGATTTCTTGGTTCATTAATTTTAACATCTTTAATATAGTGGATAACGCCTGATTCTAATAGTTATTTAGATAACCTGCATGGTAAGAAAGGTAAAGACAAAAAGGATAAAATTCTCTCTAAATTACCAACCTCTCTTTTACTTGATGTACTTTCTAATTAACGAAATAGGCTGCAGTGATAGAAAAACGACATTTGTTGGCGACAAAAATAACGAGCCGACATTTATATAAGAAGAGAGACAGTAGTCTAATGGACGGTAGTCAAAGGTCGTGTGTTCGAATGTGCCATTCAACTACTACCGCCACTACTAATTCATAAATTAAGCACTTAAAGTATACAAAGAGTGGTTAAAGGGAATGTTAGTAATGTTACTAGCATTGCTAGTATTAAAAAAATCACATCCCTAGTTAGGCTCTGCTTCGTTGTCCTATCTAAATGTAACAGTGCATAATGGCGCTCTTATTCAATTGTGAAGCTTTTATGAAACTTACCCATTTAAATAATATGTTCGAAACCGTACATTACCATGCAGTGGCGGTGTAAGAATATCCTCTACCCCATATCATCCCGTGGGTGTCGTAAGAGGGAAATTGAAATAGGTGATGGGCAGCAGTATCTTCCTGATACAACTCAAAATAATAAAAACTGCTGTTGCCCACCCGCCTGCCAAGTGTAGCAACTATGGCAAAATCTCCCTATGAGGCAATCTTTGGGGAGGCCTATATTCATGAGTGGATTTTATAGGCTGTAATGGGTGGAATGGATGGATATTTACTAAAAATATATATTTTTACTAAATTACTAAAAATATATATTTTAATATAGCCAAAGTTAGTGTATAGATTTCCTTAAATTTTATACATGAGTCTCTATTGGTTTTGAATTATTAATTGTTTTAGGTCTCTTCTGCAAAACAAATATCATTTCAGTTGAAATCACGTTACCCATAGCAAGACACTGTGCTATGGAAATAACTAAATTAAACAAGTCTACCTTTTTCAAATCTGATAAGACTTCTTATCTTTTCTACGGTATATGTTGCGAAACTAAGTCTACTTGCTAGTTTAGATATGTTGAGGCCCCACACGAAATTCTAGTAGTTCTGCGAGAATGTAGTCAGTAACAAGAAACCACACAGTTGGTTTCTTATTAAGGTTCGCTGTTCAGAGTATACCTAAACGAAAAGAGTTCGATCGTTCCAGAGTTTGACGTTCTAGGACCATAACTTTGAACTTGAACTTATTATACAAGCTGTTGTTAGTTGGTAATTCAACGTAACGCATAGACAGAACAAATTCTTGTGCTGTCTGCTTATTAAATTATCTTTTCGATTTAGATTTTTCGAATTCGATTCAAGGAAAGTTAAAGACTCGCTATGCTCAAGATGTAACTACAACCATGCGCCTACAGAGTTTCTATAAATAAAACTTAGAGTGAGTATAACAGAGATGTGTGTCATCTTATAGTAATAAAGAATCCCAGATGTTATTACATCTAATAATGCTTTAAATTTTTTATCACAGGACCCCAACCCACTGCTATCTAATTCTCGAACTAAATTAATATAAAGCTTCGTTAAACAAACAAAAAAGGTCCGATGGGTTTATTCTGGATTATGTATAGTTCTCTGTTTGATGTCCGTAACTATTCTTAGCTGTTAAGCTGTTAACGCTGCTTTTTATGATTGTAAAAAAAGTTTTAACGACAAAACAATTATAAATAAGTAAAGTTACATCAATGTATTTTATGTTGTTAGGGGCATTTACACAATAATATGTTTTATATAGCTTTAATTACATTATAAAAACACATATGTACGTAAACATACCATTGTGAAAGTTTCAGTGAATGTTTCAGTAATGGAGTTTAAGAGTTTCCACTAACCAATGTCGTCCTGTGGGTGTCGTTAGAGGCGATGGAGGGAAACTGAAACAGGAGATATGCGTATAAAAACTTTTTGCTAAAACATTACGCAGTTATGCTATTTTATGTTTATAGCACGAATGACCGGGATTGAACGCGCTTTCGCAGAATATTATTGGTTACCAATCCACGTGCCAAGCGTGGCAACTATGGAAATTCCACCCTTACGAGGCAATATACGGGGAGGCCTAAGTGTGGCAGTAGACTTTTATAGGTTATAATGGGAATTAATGATAAGAAGTAGGATATAGTATTTTTATTGTATACAATAATAAAATACCGGCCAAGTGCGAGCTGAATTCGCGCATGAAGAGTTCCGTACCATCACACAGGTTTCTAGTAGGAGAGCCCCCTCAACTTTTTAATTTCTTTTTATTTTTATTATTTTTGTTATACCGGCAATAGAAAATGAAATCAATGAAATTTCTACTGTCTTCCTATTACGGATCATAAGATATAGCACGCTGACAGACAGACGTACGTACAGACGGACAGCGGAGGCTTAGTAATAGAGTCCGTTGGTTTCCCTTTGGGTACGGAACCCTAAAAAAGGAAACCAAAATCACATAATCTATTTGTACAAAATGGTCGGCCTTAAATAATAAGTACATATCGATTTTCAATTTCGCATAACACTCGAATTGTTCTCTTTATTTGACCTTTAAAACTGATTCCTCCTTTGTACCTGACAATTCTGTACCCTTGTCAATGAATTTATCCCAAATAAAATTTATTCTTTCACCTAAATCGTACCCAATCTAAATGATTTGTATAAAATCCAATCTTATTCTTTGATTACAATAACAATATAAAATATTTTCAGTTTCTTAACAAGTTGTATAATATTATTTTAAATTAGTTAGCAGAGTGCATAGATTACAGGTGAGGTTTGAATTTGAATAAAAATATGGCACGTTCCACCTTATATCTCTTATTATTTTCTGCATTATTTTTTCAGAGTAACTGAAAAAAAAGTTGTTTACTTTCAGAACTTTGCCAGATCAGCGAGTCTTATAGATAGTTAATAAAAGCAAACCATATTTTCGTGTCTGTTTATTTTGTCCCGACCGAATTTAGCGGTGGGCAAAATTCGAACAATATTTCTAATCATAACAAAAACTGTAATAATAATAATTCTTTTCTCCATCAGACCGTAAAAATTTGCTACTATACATGGGCATTTCAGGTGTTTGTCTTAATTGAATCTCTTTGCAAGCAAATTGGTGATCGAAGAGTACAAAAGGTATTGCAACTTTGACGCTGCTCATCGTTGAAAATATATATATTTTACGTGTGGCGTAAAGGGGATGCTTATACTGTAAGCGCTGGGATCTTTCTGGTTTTTTCACATATATTGGCTACAGGCACACATATAAAGACATGTTCCTGAGTTGTCTCCTGTGTTGACACGCTTGTTCCGCCTCTCATTTAGGGCTGGAATAGTGCCAAAATCCTGGAAGCTGGCCTGGTGCAGCCTGTTCCATAAAAAGGCAGCCGTGCTGACCCTGCCAATTATCGGCCAATCTCAATTACCTCCATAATCTGCAAGATTATGGAGCGTATATTGAATCCCCACTTAATGGCATACCTAGAACAGAATGACCTCCTTAGTGACTGGCAATATGGGTTTCGCCGAAATCATTCAGCTGGGGACCTTCTAGCATATGCCACACACGTATGTGGCGAGCTACTCGAGAACAATGGGGAAGCACTTGCTGTTTCCCTTGATGTCTCGAAGACCTTTGATAGAGTTTGGCACACTAGCCTTTTGGGTAAGCTTCCAGCGTACGAATTACCCCTGGTATAATTAAATGGGTAAAATACTTTCTGAGTGAACAGTCTCTCTGGGTCGTCGTCGACTGCTGCTCATCCGATCCTATGGGTACTAACGCCAGTGTTCCTCAGTGGTCCGTTCTCTCTGTAACTCTCTTTCTGCTGCATATTAATGATCTGCTTATGCCCGGTATCTATGGGTATGCAGATGATAGCACAGTTGTTGAGAGATACCAACCAAGTCCTCGGGACAGTCGAGATCAAATCCAGGCCGAAAGAGAAGCTATGGTAGAGCGTGTGAACCTCACACTACAGGCAGTCTCCGAATGGAGCGATGCCAATCTTGTGAAGTTCAACGCCTCCAAAATACAAGCGTGTCTCCTCACTGCAAAAAGGAGCCAGCTTACTTTGGCTTCAGACCGGAACAGCTGCTTGCTTTATATAAAGCGCAAGTCCGGTGCATGGAGTATTGCTGCCATATATGGGCTGGTGCTGCAAAATGCCACCTAGCAGCTTTAGACTCAATGGAAAGGCGTGCTAAGAGGCTTATTGGTGACCTGAATTTGGTTAAAACCAATCTTACCAGCCTCGAACACAGACGTAAAGTAGCCAGCCTTTCCGTTTTCTACAGGATGCATTTCGAAGAGTGTGCGCAGGAATTTCATAAAATAATTCCTCACCAGACGTTTGGCCAGTCTCCACCCTTTCGTTGTTGACTTACCATGCATTCGAACCAAACGGTTCGCCACGTCGTTCATCATGCGTACAGCAAAGGACTGGAATAAGTTGCCAGCATCTGTCTTTCCATCCGATTACAGTGTGGGTGTCTTCAAGGCAAGAGTGAATAGGCTTTTGTTAAGTCAGTGCGCTTCAACATCTTAGGCTACATTACCACTTACCATCAGGTGGGATCGTAGATAAGCGCTGGCTTAGTGCAATATGAAAAAAAATGATACTGATAATTGAACCTGATTTAATTATTATTATTGGCTCCCAATATCATCCCGTAGGTGTCGTAAAAGGTGACAAAGGGGAACAAATCAGGAGATGGGCAGCAGCGTCTTCCTAATAAAGGCTTAAAATAAAAATAAAACTGTGGTTTCTAACCCGCCTGCCAAGCGTGGAAAATTATAGAAAATCTCCCTATGAGACAATAAATGGGGATATATATTTAACAGTAGTCTTTTGGTTGGCTATAACGAAAAGAATATTGACAGACAATAAAGAGTGCTATGTTAGTTGTCAGAGATCGCCCAATATCTTTCTTGTACAGCCAGCTTGTTAGTTAAGAAGCTAGCTGTCAGCTGCCAATTTCAATTTTGTCAATTTAAGTTGTCAATAGTTATTGGCAACTGAAATTAGAGTCAAACAAATTATAGACAATAGGGTATTACACCCCTTTTCAAATAGTATTTCAAATTAAGTTAGGATGATAATGAACCACTACAATTTTTATATAACGTTTTTAAACCGCATAGTGTCATAATAAATAATAGTTTAAAAAACTAAAAAACACGCTTTTGTAGATAACCGAACTAAAAAGTAGAAAATAATTTTCAATAAATTTAAAATAACATAGTGATTAACTTAAAAAATCATTTTACTACATAAAATCGTGGTGTGCTTTTTCAGATAGTTTTATGACGACGCTAATTTTACAAATATCCACAAAAATACGGTATCAAGCATCCCACACTTTTTTACAATAAAATGTTTTTTTTAGGTTAATCACTATTTTCTTAATTTAAATTTATTGAAAATTATTTTCTAGATTTTAGTTCTATGTAATCAAAAGCGTATTTTCTTAAATTTTTTCACACTATTATTTATTTTCTATTTTTTAGTGCGGCTTACAGCGTGTTTTTTTTGAAAGAATTTCTTTTACGCGGCATAAAGTAGATTGAACTGGCAGAAATCATAGTTGTTTTATGAATTATCCTGACAAGGATAATGGGTTAAACTATGTAAATTATTGCATTGTCATCGGTCTTTGATAACTGTGCGAAGTTTCAAATCAATCCGTCTTTTTGAAGGGGATGAAAATCACATTCTAAAATTACGTTATGTAGATACATAGATTATACATACCAAGCTAATAAAAGCGTGTTAAAAATTACTTTTCATCTATCTAATTAAAATTTCGCGTGAAAATGCTAGGTGCCATGCTGTTCACTTGGTACTTGTTTAAAACTAGCAAGAAGAGACCCGAAGACATTGTCTACAAAAACTAGACTATACTTCTGTGAAGATCAGTTTAGTGTTACTTTTTTACTACGACTTATATTTAACTATCCTTTATAAAAAAACATCATGAGGTAATAGGTATTGTAAGTCAAATTGTGTAATAGTTTAGAAGTGAGATTGAAATCATAGATAAACATAACTATGTATTATCAAAGATACTCTGAACTGGTATTGTATTATTTTACATATAAACATCATCATCGTCATCACTACAGCCCTTTACAAGTCCACTGCTGAACATAGACCTTCCCCAAGGAATGCCACAAAGCACAGTCTCAAGCCACCTGCATGCATTGACTTCGTTCATGTCTTACCAGGTCGTCACTCCATCTAGTGGGGTGGATACCCTACATTTCACCTGCCGGTAGGGGGCTGATATTCTAGAATCTTTTTTCCTTATCGGTTGTCGTTTTCCTCTATATGGCCGGCCCATTGTCACTTTAACTTATTTATCCTTTGGACTATGTCAGTTACTCCGATCCTACTGCGAATATCCTCGTTTTTAAGTCTATTACGCAGAAAAATGCTGAGCATAGCCCTCTCCATAGCTTGCTGAGCGACTTTGAGCTATCTCATACGGCCTGCATTGAAGGACCACGTCTCAGATCCGTAGGTCATAACTGAAAACACACACTGGTTGCACAATCTAGTTTTGAGGTTTTGAGGTATGCCTAACGATAAGATGTGTCGTAATCTCATGAATCCGTCGATTGACCTCTCGGTTGAAGTTGGATTTATATAGTTGGACTATTTGTCCCAGATAAACCTATTCGTCAACAACTTTGAGCTTAGTGCTCTCAACAATTACCGGCATAGGTGTTACATGGACGTTAAATATGATTTTTGTTTTGTTCATGTTCATCTTAAGACCTATCCGTTGAGAGACACTATTGAGGTCATTGAGCATAGTGCTAAGGGCCTCCAGCGATTCTGCCATAAGGACTATATCGTCGGCAAATCGAAGGTGACTCGGCATTGACGTTAATACTGTATCCTTTTCAGTTCAGCAGCTTGAAAATGTCTTCCAATGCAACGGTGAAGAGTTTCGGGGATATTACGTCACCCTGTCTTACACCTCTCTGCAGTTGGATAGGTTTTGTACGCTAGTTCTGTACTCGGACAGCCATCGTAGTCCTACTGTACAAGCACTTGAGCACTTCGATATACCGACAGTTGTATAAACAAAAGTTGGTAATAGGTACTTACACTGATGTTTTAACATTCCTCAACTAGGCAGAACAAAAATCGGGATTGCATGCAAAAAAATTTTGCCAACAATAACGTATTTTTTTTTGGTAGATTAGTACTTTCAGCTTTTACAAAATCGTCTTCAATTAAGCTATTTCAATAAATTACGGAATAAAAGTCAACAATTGAAAACACAACAAACACGAACTTGAAAATTTTGGAAATAATAGACAGCACATTAGCTTGATGACTTGTTTACTATAGAAGTGACGTCACGGCGGAATCTTATATGGTGGATAGCATTTTTTTATTAAGATATTTGGTTTGAATGCTTGACCTTTAAGTCATGTCTTCATTTATTTCAGTGTCAAGTGATAATCATCTTTCATATTACACTGCTTCACAATATATTCATCACATTGCATACTTTTTGAGGGATTTTGACGGCAACTTGAGCCAGTAGACAGTTAGCGATAGTGTCTCAAGGCGCCTAAGCAGACAGATATTTTATCTTGAGATTCGCATCACCATCGGAACTCTTGTTTCACCGTTTCCACTAACAGTTCACATGCGCTAGATATTTATACTATGGCAAAACGCGACAGAATGTTTCGTACATTTAAGAAGTATCGCACTGATCTAAGACGGCAGGCATATAAAGCTGCGAGAAATCGATCTAATCAGATGGTGAGAGCTGCTAAACGCCGATATATCCACGAACAAGTACTTAATTCATCTTCTTTTTTTTTCTTCTTCTTCGGCTGATATGTGGAAGTTTCTCAAAACACTTGGATATAGAAAATCGCAATTTGACTATAATAGCATCACCTTTTCTCCTGACGATTTTAATCATCATTTTCTGTCTTCTCAAATAGTTTTTGATAGTTCTAGAGCTAATGCTATCTCATTTATATCTTCCATGCCTCCTTATTCTCACGAAACTTTCACATTTTCTTCTGTAGACGAAGGCGAGATACGCAAATTTATTTTATTTTTTATTTATTTATTTAAACTTTATTTGCACACATACAAGAAATGTACAAAACGGCGGAC